AACCCAGTGCCATTGAGTCGATGCTGACTCATAGCAACCCTATAGGACAGAGTAGAACTGGCACATAGGGTGTCCAAGGAGCAGCTGGCGGATTCCACCTGCAAACGTTTTGGTTAGCAGCCAAGTTCTTAACTACTGCGCCACCAGGGCTTCTGATACAATACATATATATGTATTAATGGAGCCCTGGTGGCACAGTGGTTAAGAGCTATACACATATACATATATGCTTAAAAAAACAGTTGCCTTAGAGTTGACTCCAACTCATGGCAACCCCATGTGTGTCTGAGTAGAACTGTGCTCCATAGGGTTTTTACTGGATAATACTTCAGAAGTAGATCACCAGGCTTTTCTTTCTGAGGTGCCTCTGGGTGGACTTGAATCTCCAATCTTTCAGTTAGGACCACCCAGGGACTCTACATATATATTTACCATAATAAAAAACAAAACAATCAGAAGTGTGAATAACCTCCCCCACTTGTCCCTGGGGAGCCCTCAGACCAGTAGGAGAGAGACACATACAATAATTCTGCTAACTCACGTGGAGGCTGCAGTCACATTGTAGGCCAGGGCTGCAGGGAACCAGAGGAGGGGCAAGGAAGTGACTTCGGAGAGGGTGACAGGGCCCAGAGATAGTGGCCTTTCTTGTGTCTCACCTGATCCTTGCTCTGCTCAGAATGCCATCCTTGCTCTTTTCATGGACTCCCTCTCCCTCCACCTTCTCAAGTCCTGTGGGCCTGGGATCCTGTGGTCAGAGGCTGGGCACACATCCAAGCTGGACAGTGTGAGGTCTGGAGCCTGAACGAACAAGGGTCCTGACACCAAGTCCTGAAGGCTTGGTCAAGGGCCCTGGGAGGCTTAGCTGGAGGAGAGAAGCCACAGGGGCTGACAGAAAGCCCTAGAAGGACATTGCAAGGGAAGGAGAACCAGACCTCTTTTGTGCAGCCCCAGAGTGCAGAACTGAGGTCAGCGAGGAGCAGGAGGGAGAATCTTCTGGTTTTAGTCTCATTCTCAGGAAGAACTGCCTAGCAGTCAACACTGCCCAACCACGGAGGGAACGCCCGGGGAGGTATAAGCCCCTCACCCTGGGACAGTGATGCTGAGGGCGGCTGCTCAACTGTCAGGGAGGCGTCCCCCCCGGGAAGAGGGCCAGTGACTCTCAGGGTCCTTCCAGTGTTTTAGAATTCTGTGTGTCCTCCTCCCTGCCAGGTCGCCTGACCTGTTACTCTCCCGTTTCCGTTTCCGTTGTGGGGGTGGGGATAACCCAAAAGGGGAAGTGGACCACCACTTGAGTCTCTCCTCTCTGGACTTGGCCCTTCCGGTGCCCGGGCTGTGCCGGTGGGAGAATGGGAAGGAGAGTGAGTGGGGACCCTTATCAGGTTATCTCCCAAGCCCCTCTGCCCAGGGGTCCAGTACTTCTCACAGAAGCTCCCCAGGATCCCACATCTAGGTCCCAGGCTGCGTCACCTCAGACGTCGAGGGAAGTGGCAAGGGTGGGGGCAGAGGGAAGGGTTGTGGGGCACCTGCCCTTTCCCAATGGGGCAGACCCAGGACGTGAGAACCAGTCAGGAGACACATAAATCCAGTCCGAGCCTGGCTTTAGATTCCATGGCTGGGAGTGAAGAGTGGGGGCAGGGGCTTTAACGGGTCGGGGGGCTCTGCGACTTGCTCAAGAGACACTTGATGCTCAGGGGTTTCTCTAAAAATGGCCCTAACCTCCACTCTCTATGATAATGACCCCAAGGAAATTTGGGTGCTGAGGGCAAGGCAGGGGTTGGAGGGCGGGAAGGCCAAGAGCCTGCTTTCTGCTGCTTTGAAATGGGCAGATTTATTCTTGGCCATCAGCAGTTTAGTGGAGAAACGCCTGGCATGGCCGCAGCCCTGGAGGAGGTGGTAAAGAGGTGAAAATTGGGCTCATTGAGGCTTGGATTTCGGGAGTTAAACGTATTTGGGCTGGTCCTGCTTCTGTTTCATAAAAAGCAAATGGAAAACAGGAGAAAAGATAAAAATCAGACATGTCTTTCCTCCACCAGCCCTTCTTCCCAGAGCATGCTTAGCTCCCCATCCCTGGAGGGTCCCAGCTGGCTCATCGGAAGAATTTTTCAATCAGATAGGGGCACTGAGCTTGGAGGAGATGAGCAGCTGGGGCCTTGAGAGGGAAAGAAAGACCCGGAATAGATTTTAATAACTAGCCAGGGCTGCCTCGTGTGGGTGGACCCTCCAGAAGGAATAATAATGCGGAGGACTCTAGGGAAGGGGCTGGGGCCAGGACCAGGGGAACCTTGAAGCAGAGGGTGTGGGGGTGGAGAGAACCAAGCTTCGCAGCTGTTTGTTCCAGGGACCTTGGAGGAACAGGAATTCAGCTACAGGGTTGGGATGACCCAACCTAAGAACTGCTCAGGTGGTGACCCAAGAACTTTGCAGGGCAGTTCACAGGTCCTGGGAGGATAAGAGGATGGGCAAGGGGCCTGGGGGCCTGCTGGAGAGCCTGGTCCAGTGAGTCTTTCTGAAATAAACCCACTGCTGTGAGCCTATAGGACAGAGCAGAACTGCCCTCAAACGGTTTTTTCTAGGCTGTAATCTTTACAGACGCAAACTGCCACTCTTCCTCCCGAGGAGCCGCTGGGCGGGTTGGATTCACCCGCCTTTTGGTTAGCAGCCGAGCACTTAACCACTGCGCCGCCAGGGCTCCTTCCTGAAATGAGATGCATGTAAATATTGTGGGATCAGATGCCATGTCCTGAAGGGTGAAAGCTAGAAACATACAAAACTGCTTCCCTAAATGGCAGCTGGAGTGTATTTCGCTGTCAAACAAGCTTATACAAAATTGCTTCCCCAAATGGCAGCTGGGGTGTGTTTCACCGTCAAACAAGTTTAAGCAGCAGGGTCCTTTCCCACGGGAGGGTGTGGACAGCAGAGCCGCTGGGTGGGATGGGGGAGGTGAGGCAGGGCGTGGTTCTGACCGGAGGCTGCCAGGTGTGTGTGAAGTGTCACCAGCGGAAGTGTAGCTGGGGTGAGAGGAGAGGGGTTAGGGAAAAACATTTCCTGGAACATGGATTTCTCTGTCTCTTTCTGTAAGAAAAAAAGGCATGCTTTTAGCTTTAAAAGCCAATAAAAGTGTTGGGGGTGTTGAAAAGGTTTTGGAAGTAGATAGCGGTAAAGGCTGCACACGCTGTGAATGTAATTAACGCCACTGAGTTGTACACTTAAAGATGGTTAAAATGGAAGATTCTCTACTATACATATTTTGCCACAGTTAAAAACAAGAACAGTAGAACTAAAAGGCTTATAATGAAACCTGCAGTCTCCAGCCCTGCTCCCACTCCTCAGTCCCGAGCCCTGCTCTTCAGAGGTGACAGCTTTCTACTCTCTTAGCTATTCTGGTATTGTCCATATTTCTAAAGAGCCAGCCCTGGTGGAACAGTGGTTAAAGCACTCGGCTGCTACCCAAAAGGTCAGTGGTTCAAACCCACCAGTGGCTCCTTGGGAGAAAAGACCTGGTGATCTGTTGCCATAAAGATTACAGCCTTGGAAACCCTATGGGGCAGTTCTACTCTGTCCTATAGGGTCACTATGAGTTGGGATCCACTTGACCAAACACAACAACAACCCTACTGACAAGGTCTACTTCTTCCTAAAGCAACTCCAACTCCCCAGCTACTGGGGCCCCCAGGAATGTCCCCTCAACACTCCTTGTGCCACCAAGGCAGACTGGCCTTTCTCCATCCCGACCACGGCTGGCTCAGGTGGAAGTCCTGCCATCTCAGAGACCCATCACAGCGTAACGGGGGCGCCAGGCTCTGGCATCAGGAGTCCTAGGGCTTACCACTGACTTGCTGTGTGCCTTAGTGAGTTCTCTATCTTTGTGGATCTCAGGGTTCTCACCTGTAAAAATGGGGATAATGCCCATTTTCCTGGGGGGTTAAGGAGCCCTGGTGGCACAACGGTTCAGTTAAGTGCTCAGCTGCTAACCGAAAGGTTGGCGGTTTGAACACACCCAGTGGCTGGCTCCTCAGTAGAAAGACCTGGCAATCTGCTCTCGTAAAGATTACAGCCTAGAAAACCCTATGGGGCAGTTCTACTCTGTCACATGGGGTCACTATGAGTTGAAAATCAACTTAACAATGCCTAACAAAACAACAACCCTAGGTGGTTCCAAGGATGAAGAGGAAGGATACAGATAAAGTATTGGCCCATCCTGGCTTCCCTGGGGGACGGTGGATGGCCCAGTCCACTGTTGACGTCCCTTGCACGTGGATTTGGGGCTTCAGTGCACCCGGCAGAGGTCTGACTGTGGGGTGGGGTGATGATTATGTCTCAGTGGACAGGACTCATTCTGGGGGTGGTTGGTATCATCCCCCAGAGTGAGTTGTCCAACTGGCTGATAATTTCCCTGGGAAAAGGGAAGCTACTCAATCTGTCTGCCTTCCCCCGGCCTAGGTCAGTGCTACTCAAAAGTGTGGGCCGCCGCCCATGCCCATCTGCAAAATGTTGCCTGTCTCCAGTGAGAAAAGTACAGGAGTCAGGAGGAAGCCTTCAAAACCTTTTATAGAAATCTGACATTGTTAACACATCCAAGTGGCATCCAATTTGAGTCTCTCTTTGATTATTTTTTAATTCTCAGTTTTCTAGTGACTCATTTTTGTAAACACCGACTATTTTTTGCATTCTTCAAAAAATTTTAATCACCCCAAACAGAAACCCAGTCCCCCTTAAACAATAACTCCCTGTAGTGATTCATTTTTATTGCTGTTTTTTTTTTTAAGTATTGATCTGCAACAGATTGGAAACAAACCTATTCTTTCACCACCTACAGCTTGAGAAGCACCGATGTTGATGACACCGAAGTCATCATAAAACCAACTAAAGATCTGATTGAGGAGAGAAGAGGATCTACCTCATCAGCACTGGTTGCAAAAATTAGCTACAAATCACACGCTGGCGAGTTAGCAGTATTTCCTTTATTGCCTCAGGACAGAAACGCCCTGGCCCCTCCCGGCTCAGCCCCTGCCGGCGCCCCGCCCGCGCCATGCCTGCTGGGCCGTCTGCCGCTTGCCGTAGCGCAGGCCGAAGGAGTTCCAGTTGTAAGTGGACAGGTCCTTCTCCCGCTGCGCCAGCACTGCGCCCCGGGGTGAGGGGGTCAGGCGGCTGCGGGGGGCGCACAGACCTGGCCGCCGGGGTCCCGCAGGGCTCTCAGGGGGCGGACACAGCGAGGCGCCCCGAGGTCTCGGCCGGGCCGAGGTGGGCTTCTTCTCTGCGCACCGTTGCTCCCAGGTGGCCAGGAGGGCCAAGGGTCCGAGCTGCGGGCCTAGGACAGAGAGCCACGGGGAGAGGCTGCGGTGAGGCTGGGTATGTGCGTCCCCCCACCCCACACACAAAAAAAAGACCAAACCCGGTGCCAACGAGTCGATTCTGACTCATAGCTCGTAGCAACTCTATAGGAGAAAGTAGATCTGCCCCATAGGGGTTCCAGGGAGCGGGCTGTTGGGTTGGTAGCGTTGAACTTTTAGTTAGCAGCCATAGCTGTTAACAGCTAGGCCGCCAAGGAGTCTACGTGCGTTCGGGAAGCAGGAAAGGCTGCTTTGGAACACCTACTAGCGACCTCATCCTATGCCTCCCTTTTGTTCACAGACTTCTAGGAAGATCGAAGCTCAGTGCCTCCAGATCCAGCATGGCCCTCTTAGCTTAGGTGTTTAGCCCAGTTGGTACCTCCTCGTTCAACATGACTTTGATTTTAAATGTTCACGAGTTAAATATCTTTTACATTAAATTACTTCCTTTTAGGAAGCAAATAGGGTATAGCTTAGAATTAAATAAAACCGAAGTATTTGTGCCTCTTCTTGGCTCACCGGAGTCCCTGAGTGGAGCAAACTGTTAACCCATTGGGCTGCTAACCTAGTCCACCCAGGGGCACCTCAGAGGAAAGACCTGGTGATCTACTTCCCAAAAATCAGCCACTGAAAACCCTGGAGCACAGTTCTACTCGAACGCATATGGGGTCGCCGTGCGTCGGAATCAACTAGATGACCCACTGCCGTCAAGTCAAAGATGGCGACTGGTTTTTTCTTGGCTCACTACCGGGCACTGCATCGGGCTTCCCCACTGGGTGTGAGTCTCTTGGGGTAGGGTGGGGGCAGTGTTCATTCATCTCTGTCCATCAGCATGCTTGAAACAGTGCCTTGCAAATAATAGGGCTTCAATAAATGCTTGTTAACTATGGAGAGGCTATTGGAAAGCTTGTAGTAACAGAAATCAAGAAAGTGGCGCTAAGTCCATTGTGCCCACACCCACCTGTGATCCAGCTCTGGTCTCTTGATAACACTAATTGTGACCCCCTAATAAGCTATGTGGAGCCCTAGTGGCACAGTGGTTAAGAGCGAGGCTGCTAACCAAAAGTCAGCTGTTCAAACCCACCAGCTACTCCATGGGGGAAATACGTGACAGTGTGCTTCCGTAAAGATCACAACCTCGGAAGCCCTATGGGGCAGTTCTGCTCTGTCCTGCAGGGTTGCTATGAGCCGGAACCAACTCGATGGCAATGGATATGGATTTTAAATAAGCTATAAAGTTATCTGAGTCACCTCCCCCATTCCCAGTATAATTTCTCCCCTTCATACTGAGGGTTTACAAGGCTGATTTGGAAGGCACTTCACACACATGGGTCACTGAGTTCACCATAATTTTTGGCAGTAAAATAGTGCAACTCGCTCTGGGTAGACCATGGCCCCAGCCAACTGTGGCAAGAAAAACCCTTTGCCATCAAGTCGATTCCAACTCATAGTGACCCTATGGGACAGAGTAGAACTTCCCCATGGGGTTATCGTGTCTGTAATCTTTTATGGAAGCAAATCGCCAGGTCTTTCTCCCTCGGAGCCACTGGGTGGGTTCAAACCACCAACCTTTCGGTTAGCAGCTCAGCACTTAATCGTTGCACCACCAGGGCCCCTTCTTGATGCCCATAATACACAGTGGTAAACCATCCTTAACTTGCAGGGTTCATGGGGCTCCTGAATGAGCTGCATATGTGCCAGTTTTCGGTTTCCATTAAGTGCCAGGTTCAACTCATATCAATAGACTAGCTATAATTTGAAGAGTATGGTAAATCTTGTTTTGCAGCAATTCACTTACTCGGTCCCACCCCCTTTCCCAGACAATGCATACCTGTGCATCGAGGATCCTCGGCAGAAGCGACCCTTTCTAATGTCTCCCTGAAGGAAGTGGCACAGACGAAGAGCAGTAGCTGCCAAGAAACTAATGGGTGCATCCTGGTGAGAAGAGGCAGGTCCTAGAAGTGCCCTGAGCAGGAGACAGAGAGGGAGGAAGAGCTAGGTCGGGCGCCGGGTCTGGGGCTGGGTGCTGCGTGCAGATCTGGCTGAGAAACGAGGAGAGAGCCCTGTCCTTCGAGGATCCCTGAGGAGGGATGAGTCTGAAAGAACACATCATGGAAACGTGATGGAGTGTGGTCAGAGCTGAAATGATGCTGGGCGAGGATCATCTAAGAGGACTTCCTCAATGAGGTGAGGCCAGCAAGGGTGGAAGGGGCAGGACCACTCAGATTGGGGAATGCCCAGGGTACCGAATCTCAGGTGTGCTTGAGAGGAATGTAGGACAAATGAGTGATGATTATATATATATATATACATTCATATATATATATAGTGGGGGAGTGAGCAGGGAGGGCAAGAGGGTCAGGCCACCCATTGGAGAACTTTAAGGTCCAAACATTCTCTTTGGAGCCTGGGAACAGGCACTCCTTCCCTCCATGCTGTGCTCTGCATAAATCCACAACCTTCTGTGCTCCACTTTCCCCATTAGAATGTGCCTTCCTGAACCTGTCCAGTCCCTCCTTCTGTAAGAGAAAATTGTCTTCCTTTTCCAAGAAGAAAGAGGCAATGGGTTGCTCTTTCTCTTAGCTGTTTACAGCCTTGAAGAGCAGCACTAAATAGTCTTATTGCTTATAATTCAGGGAAAAGTTCTGTCCTGATTTGTCAGGTGGGTTGTCTCCATGTTCTCTTCTCCATGGGCCCTGAGAGGATCTGGACTGAATTGGCCTCGTCATCTTGGCTGTTGAGATGGGAGCTGTGTGCTCTGACCCTCCCTTCACCCTCTTATGCCCCCCCACCGCCACCTTCCAGCTCCCAATTCTAATCTCTCTTTGAAAAAGTCATGGGCACTTTGAGGTTGTCCAACGAATTTATGATAAAGACAAACTGGGGTGCTGCAGGCTGAGCAGAAAGGGTGCCCTTGTCAGACCTAAAGCCTGGAGCCCCTCTCTGGGGCGAGGGGACCAAGAGGGAGGGGGGCAGAGTCTCATTTGGGCCCAAACCAAAAAACACTGCTTTTAGTTGCTTTTGAGTTGATTCTGACTCATGGCGACCCCACATGGGGCAGAGCAGAACTGCTCCACAGGGTTTTCAAGGCTGTGACCTTTCAGAAGCAGATCGCCAGGCCTGTCTTCCGAGGCAGCTCTGGGTGGGTTTGAACTGCCAACCTTTCCGTTAGTAGTTGAGTACTTAACCATTTGCACCACCCAAGGGCTCCTGATTAATCCGTTAGAGAGGACAGTATAAAACCATTTCTTTTTTGGCTCAGATCGTGGATGCCTGGGGCCGAGGTTAGTTCAGAAACCACTCCTTGAGCACTGACTAGGTGCTGGCGCTGTGCTGGGTGCTAAGGGTGCACAGGTGTGCGAAGACACAGGCTTGCTGCCCCCAGGGATCTCAGTCTAGTCTGGGAAATTGACTCAAAAACAGATCATTTCAATATATTGTGGTAAAGGATGCTCTGCAGGCATGTGAATACACACGGGGCTGCGGGAGCCGAGGGAGCCCGACCTGGATGGTCCAGGCAGGTTTTCTGCAGAAGGTGATGCCTGAGCATGAGTGGGCCATGTGAATAAACCCGTCGCCGTGGAGTAGATTCCAACTCATAGCGATCCTATAGGACAGGGTAGAACTGCCCCATCGGGTTCCCTAGGCTGTAACCTGTACAGAAGCAGATTGCCACATCTTTGTCCCACGGAGCGGCCGGTGGGTTCGAACCGCTGATCTGTCAGTTAGCAGACAAGCGCTTTAACCACTGCACCAGCAGGGCTCCTGGCCAGATGAATAAAAGTATACAAAAGCATTTCCAGCAGAGGGCGCTGCATCAGCAACGGTGCTGGAGTGCTGAGGTGGGACTGGCTGGGGCTGGGTGTGGAGACAGCTGCTGCCCAGCAGACGTGTGTGGAGCTTCGGATGATAAGAGTGAGCAGGCTGGGCGATGAGTCCCCACTGTCCCTCAGGGCCAAACAGGGGCTTCCCCTGGGAGGAATGCGTGTAGCTTTGCATTTTAGAGGAGCATTCTGGCTGCTCTGTATAGCCCATGGTGAGTGAGGAAGGGGTGGTGGCTGCAGGCTGTGCAATTGGAAGGGCTGTGTTCCTCTTCGATGCTCCCTTTGCCTGTGTGTGCACCTGCCCCGTCAGGGATAGTGGTACCACGCACACCACATGAGAACTTCACTTTTCCTCCACTGCCTGTCCCATAAACACACACAAACACAAATACACACACACGTTCAGACACCACTGAAGACCCCCAGAAAGCAGGGGCCAAGTCCTTTCCATCAGAGGTTCCCCCAACTCTTCATTTGCTGCCTAGTCCACAGGTGGCACTAAACATGGTGGAAAGGTCCATCCCCTTTCCAGGTGGCTGACCTGCTATGGGTAATATTTGTGGTTTTCCCCACCCCAGGGGTTTTTGTACTGTGAATAACTGAGAAATTCCAGGCATGGTAGGACAGCTTTTGAAGAGGGGTGGCTTCCTTCCTTGGGTGACCCCCCCACCCCGTTCTTAGTGCTGGGGGCCAGCAGGGTGGGTGGGTAGGTGATCTTTGGTTGGGGTTGTATTTGCCACTCAACGAGATGGATTGACACCGTGGCTGGAACAATGGGCTCAAACAGCAATGACTGCGAGGAAGGCGCAGGGCCGGGCAGTGTTTCCTTCTGTTGTCCCTAGCGTCACTGAGTCAGAATCGACTCGACGGCACCTAACAACAACGATTTGGGGGAACTGCTCAGAGGAGTCCCATTCCTCAGCCATGCACCCCACCCTGAAGGACTCCCCAGCTTCCTATAAGAGCTTCTGTGGCCTCTAATCACAGCAACAGAGAGCTCATCCATTCCACCTGTTCCTCCCACAGTAAGACAGCCCTTGGGACCCTCTAGTTTGCAAATAATAAAGTGCAAACCAGTTTATCCACCAGGCTTCCCAGCGTAATCTGGCCATCCAATAACCAGGCAAGATCAGGAGCCCCACCACCACCCTCTCCTTGCCTGTCAGTTTGGGACCAATTTCCTGCTCCCTCTCTGGAGCCGCTGGGGGTCAGGGGTGGACCCTCCCCACGGGTGGATGCCGCAGTCCACCTACCTTGGCTCAGGCCTGGCTGGGTGGGAGTCAGGCAGGGTCTCTGTGGTGGTGATCGCCGGGAGGGAGGGGAGCTGGCTCACTCTCGACAGCTCCCCTTTTATAACGCCCTGGGTGACGTCTGCCGGCACAGGCCCACCTCTGCCGGCCTCTCCTGCCTCTGTCAGGCCCTCCTCAGAGATGCAGTGCCCTGACTACCACCTCCTGCCTCCTGGCTCTCGTGACTGAAATCAGCCTCTTCCTCCCTGTCCTGAAGCCTTCCAAGGCTGGCTTTATAATTCTCATTAGTTCTTTCCCTCCCTCACCACCGCCTTCCCCCCAGATCCACTCAGCTCTGGAGACCTATTCTGCCCCAGGCAACGTGGAAATAGGATATTTGAGGGGGAATGGTGGGGAGGGGGTCTGTGTGAAGTGTCTTCTCCCCCTCTGGATGAGAGCCACCCAGGCTTAAGGGGAGAGGAGAAAAAGGCATGATCTGACCCAGTGGGCTCCTTGTCCCCACATGCTCAGTTCTGAGATAAAGCCAGGTCAGCTCAGGTCTCAGATCAGAGGCTGCTCCAGGCTGTGTCCTGAGACTAGAGGGTGGGGTAGGGGGATTCTCTCCTTTTCCCTTCCTTTCTTCCTCAAACAGTTACAGAGCATTTGCTCAGCACAGGGTTGTAAGGTGAATATGACGTAGATGGGCAAGACAGGCAGCTAAACCGCTGGCTGTAAAGAAGCAGAGCAGAGTGGCAGCTCTAGGAAGTAGGTGTACATGGGAAGAACAGAGAAGTGACTTCCAGGCAGGAAAGACTTCCTGGAGGAGGTGGCATTGGGCTGCCCTTAGAGGACGAAGCCTGCTGTGAACAGGCAGAGAAAGAGGGGGAGGGCAGGCAGGGCAGCGGAACAGCCTCAGCAGCAGCACGGAGGGTGCTGATTGGTCCCCTGATGGTGGTCACTAGACTGTGCCCAGTGACTCGTTTTCTCTTCTCTGATTGCTGTCACTGTTAGCAAGTCACTGAGCCCCTCCTTCAGCCTCAGAGAGACTTGCCTGAGTGTGAATCCCAGCCCTGTGAGGCTCTGGCGGAGTGACCTTAATGATTAAAGGACTTGGAGTTTCGATTCTCGTCTGTAAATGGAGATGATAGCCAGAACAGCTCTCCTGTCGGGCTGTGGTGAGGACAGCACCCATGCAGCACAGACCCCGTTTCCTCCCCCATTCCTTCCCTTAGGCCTCCGTGGCCTCAGTGGCCCAGCCTCTTCTTGCGGGAAAGTTCCTCCTGCCTGTGCCGTGGGCTGCTTCACGGGGCTGCTTCCTTGCTGAAGGCTTAGCCAGGGTGGGGGAGGTTCAGAGAGACCTGTTTGTGATTTGAAGAAGGGATGGTGGGCGGATGGGTCCCTCATGCGTTAGAGCAGACCTAAGGCTGAGGAGTGACTTCTGGGCTCTCAGCAGATGGTGAGGGAACTTCTCAGAAACTGAACACAATACGTGCTCCTTGGGTGATGACTTGGGATGATGGACAGTGGGTCCCTTGACTCAACTTGGCTCTGCTGGGCTGGTGGCTTTTTCTGGCCCACCACTCTGCCGTCCACCAAAAACCAAAAACACACGGTGGTCAAGTCAATTCCAACCCATGGTGTTGAAGAGTAGAACTGCTCCATAGGGTTTTCTTGGCTGTCATTTTTACAGAAACTGATGACCAGGCCTTTCTTCTGTGGCACCGCTGATGGGTTCAAACTGCCAGTCATTCCAGTGCAAACCGTTTGTGCCATCCAGGCATAACTGTTTCCTGACAGTTCTCTGTCCATCCTCTCTGACCAAAGGCTAAGGGCCAGAAGTATCCCAAGGACTCTAATAGAGGAAGGAGACACTGGAGGAAG